ATAATAATAATAATAATAATAATAATAATAATAATAATAATAATAATAAATCACTGACATACTGTTAGGGTGAAAAAAATTAAATTATTATTGAGATTTGAGAACTAAAACAAATACTTGTTTATAAGTTGTCTTGAATTCACCTCACAAATAATAGAAATTCGTTAGTGCTTACTGTCCTGTCATCTCCAACATAATTTACAAAGAATACCTTTTGAGAATGACATATTATTAATATCCTCATTGTTGGAAGATTTGCTATCAAAGTACTCCAATTGTAGTCAAATAGTTTCCCTGAAAATAATACAGCATTGATGGTCTATGTCACTGGTTTTTCCAACTTTATTTTGAATACAATGTAATAACTTTGTACCAAATACTCGAAATAAAATTTGTAATCTGGTGATTCCGCTTGGCTTCCACAGTAACCATAAAAATGTTTTTTTACAAGGTGGGGAGTTGGTACCCGATTTAAATTACATATAACAAAATAAGTAAATAAAATCAATAGCCATTTTTATTTCTACTAACGAATGCTCTTAGCTGTTTACTAGATATTGCCAGGTATACCTCAATGTGGACCGGTGCTTTAGTCCACAGAGAGGTTGAACTACACTGATATACTGCATATACAGGGTGTTTGTAAATAAGTGCGAATTATTTTAGGAGGTGGTTGCCAAAGTTATTTTGTGAAAAAAAGTTCATATAAAGTTAGGTCGAAATATGCGTTTAAATGTTAATTTTTATTTATTTTTTTTAATTATTTCAAATAGTTTTAAAGATATTGATTAGAAATTTGATGGGTGTATTTTCTTTAGAAATATTGACAGCAACCTACTGGATGATGCACCAATAATAGAAATTAAAAATACACAACTTGTAATAAAATATGTTTTTTTTCTCAAAAACGGTGCATCCTAAGAAAAAAATTTAAGAGACCAATTTCATTCAGAATTGATGGCGGATTTCTAAAAAAATGTCAAAACGCAAAAAAAGTCAGCGGTATACCATTTTTTTTTTTAATTTAAAAAGGTTGTGGCATTCTCGCACGAACGCCATTGGTGCAAATAGAAATATTCGGATCACCCCAAAAAATGCACATTTATCCCTCCAAAGCGTTTTTCAAATTTTGAGGCAATATCTCT